CTCAGGTCGTGACCCGACAAAAGCGCGAATGTCATAAGCGTGCTGACAACACCGCGGCGCTAAAACCGCGATGTCAAAAGTGCGCTGACAACAGTGCGCTGACAACAGCGCGCCGACAAAAGCGCGAATGTCATAAGCGTGCTGACAACACCGCGGCGCTAAAACCGCGATGTCAAAAGTGCGCTGACAACAGTGCGCTGACAACAGCGCGCCGACAAAAGCGCGCCGACAGAAGCGCACTGTAACGGAACCCTAAACCTAAACCTAAACCTAACTCTAAACCTAAACCTAAACCTTACCTTAAATTAAATCGCGCTTCTGTCGGCGCGCTTTTGTCGGCGCGCTGTTGTCAGCGCACTTTTGACATCGCGGTTTTAGCGCCGCGGTGTTGTCAGCGCTCTTATGACGTTCGCGCTTTTGTCGGGTCACGTTTATAAGGTACTATTGTTTCTACAACAAGCTGCACCCCCATTTTGGAGGAGATATAAACATAAATCCATAAATAACCCCAGGAGACTGACTATCTGTTTGTTTGTTTTTCACGTAGAATTTGGAGGAATACAACAAGTGGAAATTTTACAACAGCCCCAATCTCTTGGAAGTCCTGGAGGAATTCCCATCCATCAGGCTCTCAACATCCTTCTTGCTCTCTCAGCTGCCTTTACTCAAGCCCAGATATTACTCCATCAGTTCTTCGCAGGATTGGGACCCCCAGGAATTGCATTTGACTGTGGCTGTGGTGACCTACAGACCTAGAAGTAAGCAGGCTTTCTGTTCTGAAACTTCATTTGGCCCTGTGTTTGCAGTGATTCTTCATAAAATGTGAGAGCCGGTTTGGTCTAGGGCAGGGGTCCTCAAACTATGGCCCGGGGGCCGGATATAGCCCACCGAAGCTATTAATCCACCCCGCGAGGGGCCACAAGGGTGCCCCACCCACATCGCCCCACCTACTGGTTCGGGTGCGCTCCCGTGCTTGCTCCCCTCTGAACGCAGCGCTTCTACGCATGCTCAGAAGAATCCGGGGGTGAGCGGGGTCTCCTGCCGCCGCTATTACCAGTTTGGCTGATTCGGTCCAAACCGACAGCAACTTACCTCTGCCCCCCCCCCTTTCTGGAGGCCGAGGAGGGCAAAAACGGGATGCGCGAAGGCTTCAGGAGGCCAAGATGTGTTTTCGGGCAGCAGAGTTGGACCCTTTTTTGGCCTCCCCAGCCTCCAGAGGGAGAGAGGGAGGAAGAGGGGGAGGCCACACCCCTTCACTAACCTGCTTTCTACCCCCAGGAACATAACAAATTAAAGTTTAATTTGTGTGTATTGTTTAATAGACTGTTAAATTGGCCACACCACCCAGTCACGCGACCATCTGGCCACACCCAGCCAGTCACACGACCACTTGGCCACACCCAGCCAGTCACATGACCACCTAGCCACACCCAGCCAGTCAAATGAGCACCTAGCCACACCCAGCCAGTCACATGACCACCTAGCCACACTCAGCCAGTCACATGACCACCTGGCCACACCCAGCCAATCAAATGACCACCTAGCCACACCCAGCCAGTCACATGACCACCTGGCCACACCCAGCCAGTCACATGACCACCTAGCCACACCCAGCCAGTCACATGACCACCTAGCCACACCCAGCCAGTCACANGCAAAAACGGACATTTTTGCCTTCCCCAGCTCTACTGAAACATACAGAGTGCTCCTGGGGGGCGGGGAGGACAAAAACATTTTTTCTTACTTACCTCTTCAAAATTGTGGTGCATCTTATACACCGGTGCGTCTTATAGTCCAAAATATGGTATATTGAGACTCTAGAAAGAATGCAGAGAAGAGCAACAAAGATGATTAGGGAGCTGGAGGCTAAAATATACACAGGACAGTTGCAGAAATTGGGAATATATGGTTTAATGAAAAGAAGGATTAGGGGGTGACATGATAGCTGTGTTCCAATATTTGAGAGGCTGCCACAAAGAAGAGAGATCGGCCTATTTTTCACAGCACCTGAAGGCCGGACAAGAAGCAATGGACAGAAACCAATCAAGGAGAGAAGCAACCTAGAACTGAGAAGAAATTTCCTGACAGTCAGAACAATTGATCCGCGGAACAACTTGCCTCCAGAAGTTGTGAATGCTCCAATACTGGAAATGTTTAAAAAGAGATTGGACAACCGTTTGTCTCAAATGGTATATGGTTTCCTGCCTGAGCAGGAGGTTGGTTGAGAAGACCTCCAAGGTGCCTTCCATCTCCGTTATTCTGTTAGTGCTTGGATGGGAGACCATCGGGAGATTCCATGGCTGTAGACCATACTGGGAAGTTGAAAACATTCCAATAGCAGATCACTTTTATCCTGCTACTAAAAAAAGCTACATCAACAAATACTTGTATGGTAATCCGGAGTCACGCTCAATTCAACAGGCTGTTTAATATAGCTACAATAGTCAATCTCAGTGAACTGATGTGGGATGAGTATCGTAATAACTTTGTTTAGGATTTCCATCTCTGGCTTTGAGTCAAACTTATGCCTATTGTAGTTATTTCTATGCTCTTTTCCTGTTTTATAGCAATAGCACAGTGCTTTACAGCCCTCTGTAAGCAGTTTGCACAATCAGCACAGCAACCTTGTGTTATCTTTTGGAATTTTATAAGGGGTTCCACCACAAATGCGCGCACAACAGAAGCGCGCCTGACTAAACCGCGGTGACTAAAGCGCGGTGACAAAACCGTGCGACGAATGAGCGACTAATTAGCCCTAAAGTGCGCCGATAAAAGCGCGCCGACAGAAGCGCACTGTAACGGAACCCTAAACCTAAACCTAAACCTAACCCTAAACCTAACCCAAACCCTAACTCAAAACCAAACCCTAACCCTTCCCTTAAATTAAATCGCGCTTCTGTCGGCGCGCTTTTATCGGCGCACTTTAGGGCTAATTAGTCGCTCATTCGTCGCACGGTTTTGTCACCGCGCTTTAGTCACCGCGGTTTAGTCAGG